AACCAAACCTTAAAGTGCCACCAGCGAAACCGGAAGTGCCATCAGCTTCTCTGTGCCACTGCTGCATACCCCCTGGGGCCTTCCAAAGTACCCCCAGGGGTATGCAGTTGAAAACCCCTGCCCTAGAAGAGAACTTAGTCCCCTGCTTGCCCAGGGAGACAGTGAAATCACTCAGACTCTGCTGCTCCAAAACGTTCCCCCTTCGTAATCCCATTACACTTTAGGGAAGCACAGGCTGACTATGGGCAGTCTGGGTCAGCCAATCAGGACTTTCCTATGCATTGCTGCCATCTGTCACCAGGCAGACTAACAGAATCTGCAGAGAAAATTGAGATATGAGCAAAACTCAGCGCTCCCCCCACCCCCTGCAATGTCAGCACCACAAGCTCTCCACTCATCAGGGCCTCAGCTTTCAAATGTTCGTACCCACAGCTCTGGTGAAGCTTCTCTACCCTGAGAGCAGCCCTAGGAGCATTCTCCCAGGTTCTTCGAGTGCGTGTACGCAGCCCTAGACTATACACGTAGACCCAAAAGCTTTGCAAAGCTGGTACAAATATATTTTTATTCCCATGAGGCATGTGCTGGGCACTTATGCCTGATCTTCAGAGACAGGCTGCCTGACTGACGGAGCTCTGGGTTCCAGCCAGGAGGGGCTGACTAGCTTGCGCCCACAGGGACCACTAGTTTAGGGCTCTCCATCCAGGGTGTTTAAGCCCCCCGGCTGGCAGGCTAGTTCGGTGTCACCCAGCTTGCACGGCTCCCCAAGGAGCTGAACAAGAGACGTGGGGGGGGGAGGGGAGGCGGGGCATGGGCGCTGTCTCTCCTTTGCTGTCAAATCCCTGGAGCCAGGGGTGGCACCGCATGCCAGGTTTTGCCAACTCTCATGATTTTTGATGTTGTTCCTAAATGCTATTCATCTAGAATGTGAAAAACTTAAGCTGTCTTATTTATATCTATATAGTTGATATGTCTATATAATTTTTATAATAGTAAAATATTTATCAATAAATTTGCAAATATTAAAATTTACATAAAGTTAATATACAGTTGGTAATAAATGTATTAATAGCATATTGAAACTTACTTATACAATATTATAAATGTTAAATATTATAGATATACTAAATATCATATATATATTTTTATATATACATATATACATCTATTCAAGTACTTGGGATTGGGCCAGAGAAGTGGCCTGCCTCAGCTTTTAAAGTCCCTGAAACTCCCCGGAGAAAGATCCTTGGCAAGACACCCCAACGGGGCTCAATCTCCCTGCGCGGTCCCTTTAAGGGCGGAGCTCTCGGCCTTGCCTCGCTCTGAGGTCACCGGCAGCACGTTCCAAGGGGGTAACCTTGGAGGGGACCAGCTCTTCGCTCCCCCCTTCCCCCGCCAGTGCTTCATGGCGAGGGCACGGAGGATGAGCTCCACCACCCATGTCACGTCACTGTCACCCTCCCGCCTGGCCCCTCCCTCCCGTCCGCGGTACCCCCCGCTTGGGGAGGTAGAGAAAGTCACGTGATCCGCAGCCCCGCCCCCATCCCGACAGGCAGCGCCCGCAGCTTTCTCTCCCCGCGGTGCGTCACGGAGGGGGCGGGGCCAACCGCAGACCCCAGTGGCCGCGTCCGCGTCCCAGCTCACCAGGAAACCCACGAAGTACAGGCACCGCACGAAGGGCCCGGGGCGGTGATGAGCCTCCCCTCCCGGCGGTCCGGTAGCCCCCATCCTCCGGGCGGGGTACCGCACGGGAAAGCTGGCAGCTGCTGCGGCTGCGGGGTGCAACGCATGCGCACTGCGAGCCCGGCTTGCTTCAGAGGCAGGGGGGAGGGAGAGAGTGACACACACGGGAGGGAGGGCGCATGCGCAGTGCAGGCTGAACGCCCGGTAAGCACGAGATGGGGATGGGATGTTGAGGTTGGCCGCATCGCATGCGCAGTGCGGCCGGTTTGTATCGCGAGGCATTGCAGCATGGCTGGGGGGAGGTGGGGCTGAGCAAGGGTATAAGGATGCTGCAGGTACTGAACTGTTCAGAGCATTTTTTTTTTTTTTTTAGGTTGAAATAGGCTCAGATGCTCCTAGGAAGGGAAATACAACTCGTGCAATAAAAGAAGGCAGTGCACTCAGTGGAGATACTGGATGATAGCACAGGGGGGCTGGAAGGGCCCTGGGAAGGGCGTCTAGTCCAGCCCTTGCTCAGAGCAGAGGGTCTCCAATTAGACCATTGCAGCTTGGGCTTTGTCAAGCCAGGTCTTACAACCACCAAGGATGGAGATTCCACCATCCCTTTAGGTAGCCTGTTGCAATGCTCAACACCCTCCTAGTGAGAGAGTTTTTCCTAATATCCAACCTAAACCTCCCCTGGCTGCAGCTTGAGACTTTGCTCCTTGTTCTGTCATCTGTCACCACTGAGGACAGTCTAGCTCTATCCTCTTTGTTACCATCCTTCAGGGAGTTGAAGGCTGCTATTAAATCCCCCCTTTCAGTCTTCTCCAGACTAAATAAGCCCAGTTTCCTCAGCCTCTCCTCCCAAGTCAGGTTCCTCAGCCCTCTATCCATTTCATTGCCCTCTGCTGCGGTCTCTCCAATTTGTCCACATCCTTTCTGTAGGAGTCGGGGGGAACTGGATACAGTTCTCCAGATCTGGCCTCACCAGTGCTTAATAGAGGAGAATAATCACTTTCCTCAAACTGCTGGCTACTCTCCTACTAATGTAGCCCAGTATCCATGGCAACAAGGGCACAGTGCTGGCTCCCATTCAGCTTATTGTCCATTGTAACCCTCAGGTCCTTTTGTGCAGAGCTGCTGCCCAGCCAGTCAGTCCCCAGTCTGTACTGGTACATGGGATTGTTCTATCCCAAGGGCAGGACTTTGCACTTGTCCTTACCAAGCTTCATGAGAGTCCTTGCAATCTGACCTGGAGCAGATGGGGAAGAATTTCTTGAATCCAAACCTAGCACTGTTTCAGAACCCGTGAATAAACCCACCAGGTAGATGCCTAAAAGGTTTCTAACTCCAGTTGGGAGCACCAGTGCAGCCCAGTCCAAACTCCAACCCTTAGTTGTGGTCAATGTCAACACTTTTCCAAGGGGTATGACCTCTCCCTCCCCACCCCAAAGTCAATGCATGTGTGAGGGAAAAAAATCTTTCTGGCCCCCTAGATACCAGCAGAACCCTGAAAGGTCTAGGAGTAGGCAAGATGAGATTGAAGTATGTTGCCAGAGCAGTCTGGGAAGCATGTCCTGCCCTCTGTTGTCCTCACATTTTGCAGTGCTTGCTTAGACTAAGAAGGGTTTTC